CCCTACACATCAGTAGCACATAGGATCCATTTACACTTTTGTATACTGGGTAGAAAACATTTCATTTCTCAAGTGCAGTTTCCCAGAAGGAAACACTGCATATACCATCTTTTTGTCTTCAGTCTTCCCACATTATCACTAAAATTTAGACTGGTGGAACAATTCACAAATGTATTATTGATAGGCCTACCACTGCCCCTCCCCTATGCCCCACTCCCCACAGAACAGGTATCTGTAGTGTCAGTTTAATTCCAACATTGAATTTCGGGTAAAATGCAACTACAGCATAGACACACTCACTCAATATTGGAAAATGTATAATAAGGAACCCCACAATAAAAACTGTTTGATAATAGTTATCTAACTGCATTGGCCAGTGTTACATCTCTGACTTCCAGCAAACACATTAGAAAATCTTGTTATAACCTGATTTAGAAGAACTGAAAGAGATTATACTTTTTCAAGGTACCTTTAAACTTTAGTTGAATGAAAAACTGTATTTATCTAATGAGAGAACAGTTTAGGGTGAAAGCCTCAACTAAATGAGATAGTAGTAGCCCTACTTTATGAGCAGGAAAGCATCACTACCTCTTACTAGCATATGCTGCTAGTTGCAGTCAGATGTTGGGTCCCCTTTGGCTATTTTCTGTAATTTCATTATTATATGCACATGGAAATAATATATAGTTTTTGTAAAATCACACACAAAATATACCAATGCTTTCCATAATAGAGCAACTTGCAGACTGATCAAAGCAGTTCCATATGGAATAGGAAGCAAATTTGGAAAAAGTTACTTTTAGTACTGGCATTTCTTAGTGAATAAGCAGAGGCAACTCCCTCATTGATGACATAAGACCTCTCTCAAAGCAGCAGTTTTACAACCTACTGGAAAGCCACTCATTTTGTACAACTTTGTGCCCTTTTCTGGCACTACACCTTATTGCCTGAAGTTACATAACATAATGGAAGTGCAGTCAGTATTCTTTATTCTCCCTCCTGAATCTTTAAACTCCAAGGACACATGCAGAGAACTGAGGGGAAAAAGAAAGGCAAATATGAGCATGCATACAGTGTCAACTATCTCAAGGAATGGCAGCTCCTAGTAAGTATCCTCTCTCTTCACATGTAGCTTTGGCATATTCAAACTCATGAGAAATTGGCAAGAAATACAAGTTCAGTAGGTGAGCAGAACTCTCAGTTATAATGACTGGCCTGTTACTCTTTCAAATTGGACATTTGACCAACACGCTGGCATCCAAACAGTCATGTCATGGAGCAGCTCCATACATGTCAACAAACAACTAACACACACAGTACCTCAGCCCTGAAGGAACCTGGCTTTAAACTCCAAGGAAGTGAGACTTTAGCTAAAGACATAACATGTATCGATACATTTTTGTTTTGATTTATAATGAGATGAGATGGTGTTCCCCCCACTCAGGATCCCTATGTACCACAAAAGTAGTGCTAAAAGATCGGACTCCAGTTAAGTGACAACTTAATGAGTAAAGTGCATAGTCTAGGAAACTACTAAGTATAAGCTTAATTTTTAGTAATATGAATAGAGCCACTAAAGGCAATAGGACTCCTGCTTTTGTTAAGTACCTTACTACTACTGAGTTTTGGAAAGGGTAAAAGAAACAAAGGACTGTTTAAAGTGAAACTCTAATGCTGCTTCGTGGAGGTCAGAAAACCGTACAGTCTTTCTGGAAAGCTGTAAGAGGCAAGGATTTTTGTGGGTGATATCTTTTAGTAGACCAACTACATGGCTGGAATAAAAGTAGACATTTTCAAATGCAAGGAATTCGTCAGGTCTCAATATGAAAAACCTCTAAAGCAGTTATTAAAGAAAGTAGCTCATTTCCTGTTTAGATAGCTTTTTTAGTGACACCTTGCTTGAGATGTAATTGAACCGCTTCTAAATTTTAACAAATACTTCGGCTGTTTCTGTAGCACTAGATTCCAACACCAGATGGAGAAGATTCCTTAGTTTGCAAGTACAGCCTGATCAACCAAATCAAAAATGGAAACCAAAGATCCATCTGATCATGACAGGCTTAGTCAATTAACTTATTTTAATGAGAAACAGTTCAAAGGATTCTAAATGCAGCACATAACTCAAACTGTGCAGCACATAACCCAAATTGTGGAGATGAGAAACACGTGGTTACAGAGATCAATGTTCACACCCCATAAAAGAGAAGTATCTTTTATTTTTATACATAATTTTAAAAAATTTGGGGATCTCCTAAATTTCCAATAGATATTTACAAGGGAAACATGACTTATCTCCTGCAGTCAGAGTTTACAGTCCAACTGCCAAATATTGAGAAACTGTCTGTAAGTATTAGAGGAAACTCTCATAGGATACAAAACCCTGCAAATACAGCAAATAATACAGGGGTTCTGTAAATACTGCCAGGAACTTTGTGCTGTTTAACTGGAGCTAGAGCAATTACTATGACCTATGCTCTGTCTCGAAGGCTTTTCTGGATAATTACTGGCATGCAAGGGCCTGAAAGAAAGATACGCAAGAGTTCTTGCCCTTGTTCAAAAGAAACATATCTGCGGTAGTTCCTGTCCCCTCCCTTCCGGTAAGGCAGAGTGTTTGTTCTTCTATCGTTATGTTCATCAGAACTTTTGCTGGGTAATCCCACCATCTGTAGAAATGATCTGCCACTGGCTGTGGCTGTCCAGAGAGGCCAATTATGTTGAGAATGTGCCCACCATCTCATTCCCACAACGTGCACCAAAAGCCAAAAGAAATATAATGTAGCTGCTGTTTGCACAAGACCAGTGTGGACTCAGCAGTGCTCTTGGGTTCACAGCCTCAGATGTGTTCAGTGGTGTGTGCCGTTCCAACAGTGCTTACATACGTTTACTGTTTTTCAACTTTTGGAGTGCACAGAGCAGAAGCGGGTTGTTTTATTGGCAGCATCTCTTAGATGGTTGAAGGTAGTATACCCTTACCCAAAGTGAGACTGTACACTGTCCTGGTTGTTCAGGCAGCATGCTAATCTAGTTCTATAGTAAGAACTTGAACCAACTGACCTTACACAGATACAGAAAAGATTTCATGTATTATGGAACAGCTCTACGTTTCAGAATGTAGCCTCTCCCTCACTCTTGTAACTGTGGGACTCAAGTCCAAGGCAGCCTGCTGGAAACATCTGTGGGGCTAAGGGACAGAACAAAACCTATATTCAACATACTGAATCTGGATTCTTCCAAAATGAGCTGCTTCAAGCACACAATGTTGAAGGGGTCTCATTTTCAGGAAACTAAACGGGTTTATGTAGGCAAAAGAGACCATCCTTTAAAAAGAACAAGTACCCACAGATCAAATTAGAGAATAAACTTAAGATGTTTCCAGGGATCCTTGGAGAATGATTGGCGCAGACGAGAATTAGGAAAAACATTTTCAGCCACTTTATTATATTAGTGGATGAGCTCCAAAATAAAAGCAATGATGTCTCCACAACTGAGTCAGTAACACACCATGATGATTTGATAGGACTGAAAGGGTAATCTCAGTTGAAGTGAGAGTTAATTAAAATGTTCATTTTTCTTGATATCACTGTTCCGGGGCAGAAATCTTGGATCCTTTTCTTTCTTCTGTGTTTTTTTTTCTTTTTACTGCAGCTAAGGCTAATAATGAATTTAGAGCTCAATCTTATATAGCATAACATAGCCTTTTGGACTTCTTAGAGACTACATGTGAACCTCTCTGTTAGACAGTCCCCCAAGAAAGACATTTGGCCCTATCAGGGGATAACTCTACAGCCTGCATAGGCACCAGTACAGAAATTTCCAAAGCTACAGTGAATGGGATACCTTCGGTCCATTAATAAGAATGTGTAAAGATCACTGACAAAAAAGACAGAATAAAACTTGGAAACAATTCATGGCACTAAAGAATAGTGGGAAAAGAGCTTCATGTTCAGGGGCAGAGTTGACATTCATGTGATACAATTACTCTGTGAGTTAATACTTAAGGCTTCATTTTTTTCTTTTTGGATAAGTGGGATGATTATACCTGGCACCATGAAACAGATCATACCTTAAGAAGTAGGCAACTGATTCCTGGCTCAAATCACACAGTCTGATTCTTTGAGTGTTAAATACTTCCTATTTTCTTTTTCTCCAAACACATCAAGCCCAAAAGCTTCAAACTAGGGCTCTCAAACGCTGTTACATCCGAACTCAGTGACCAGACATTTTGTCACACAGTATATGCCTAGGTCTTAAGCAAGACAAGTTAAAAATCATGGTCTACTCAGCTCAAGACTGGAATATTCAGAGGTGTAACCAGTTCTTTCAGCACCAGGAAGAAGAGACGAGGGGGAGAAAGGGAGGGGAAGAGGAGAGGAGTCTTACCCGTCTGGCTCTCCTCACTACAGCAGGAGCACACACTGCCATGCCAGGGAAAAAGGCAGCAGCTACTGCCTCAGCTGCTTTTGCAGTGGCATGGGCTTGAGTGGCTGCCACTGGAGAACAGGCAGGAGCACAAGTTCCAAGAAGGGGGCACTCCTAGTGTCCTTTTTACTCTTCCCTCTCTCCCCAGGTGGAGGGCTGTGCTTCCTATGGCAAAGCTTCGGAGGGGGGGAAAGAGGACAGGGGACATTATGCCATGCCCCCAGATATACTACTGGGTGTGGGGTCATGCCCATCTGGCTCCTCTACCCTGTCATGATAAAGACTCCTGGGGGAAAGGGAACATACTGGTGCCCCCCATAAGTTGTCACTTAGGGCTGGTGCCTATCTCTCCCCACCCTAGTTATGCTACTGGGTATGTTTTGCTCATTGCTCCTCAGTTGCTATCTGTTACTAATATTACAATTAGAAAGCCAACTTCAAAATAAAGCCAAAAATGTTGACAAAATCCTACTGATGAAAGCACCTTCTTATTTATATGGAAGTAAACAACTGCAGTTTTATGAAACACGAACTATTTCCTTGAATAAGAAATTAAGTATGGAAGGACTATTATTTTATTTTTTTTACCTGAACAGCTCTTCAAATTAACACTGCTTTCAGAAAGCAGAACTGCCCTCTACAGGATACTCTTACACACACACACACACACACACACACACACACACACACACACACACCCACCCACCCTCCTTTGGATTATTCAGTGGAAACAATAAAAGCCCATCCTGTTAATGCATGTAAACTTTTGATATGTGGGTAACTAGTGCTTAAATGTTAGTCAAATGTTAGGTGCAGGAGATCATTCAGGAAATGTTACGAGATAGAATACCATACCTCCTTTAACATTAAATTAATCATTGGATGGTAACACTTTCTTCATTTTTTGTCAACTACTGATTTGTAGTGGCTTGTTTTCTGGAGATTTTTAAGGGAATAATGGGGTCATGTTTAGTACATAACTGAATGTAAATTATTTGGAGACCATATGAAAAGAACTGGTGACATGTAGAGCAGTGGGGTTTCTCCACATGGAACAGATGAAGGGAAAAAGCATATTAAGTGATTGCTTTGCTCATACAAAATATAACTTGACAACCTAGTGTCTCAATAACCAAATGCATTCAGCAATCAGAAGTTTGCTCTTCTACATATTTTAAACACAGAAGACAAAGGGCAAAAGATAGTCCTATATATTAGACTGGTGTTCAGAACATCTTTAATATATTTAAAAGTTTGGAAGAAAGGCCACAAAAGTTGCCCCCACCCCTAATTAAAAAATGTCAGCCTTCTGAAAAACCATGTTAGTTGTTTAAAATTAATAAATACTTAAAAGTGGCAAATTAGACCACATTAACCTTTATTATGGAGTACAAATAAGTGTCCAGAGACCCAACCGAGATTAGTGTCCCTGTGAATTCTGCATTTTAAATTTACAAACCAGAGGGGACTCAGAAGGTACAGTTATTTGCCCAAGGTGTCACAGAGGGGTAAGCAGCAGAGCTAGCAAGATGGCCAATGTTTCGAGACTTTACAGCTAGTTACCCTACCCACAGGACCATACTGTGACTTATAGGCCCCTCTAAACGTTACAAGTATTGCAAAATTAACTGGTTAATTACACAATTTCCTTGAGACCAGCTGCACAAGCAAAGTAACTGTGCCATAAAAAAGCTCCAACCAGCTATAAAGTTAGGCCGCAAAACATGCATTAACTTTATAGCTGGCTGCTACTGAGCTTTAAATTGCATGTGTACGAGGGTCTCCCCAGGAGCTAGGCTCCCCATTAGCTAACAGTGCTTCCAGCTGCAGAGGTGTACCTTGCCCAGCCAGGGCTGTGAGTTTCACAACTGCTCAGGACACTCAGCCATAGCAGCTTCAGACTCTGGGCCGTGGCAGCACCCTACAGCTGCTAGGAGCTGAAGTCCCACAGCTGTGGGTGCTAGGATCCTGTAGCTTTTCTCTTGGCAAATCTCTAGGGCCAGAGGATAGCTGAAAAGCAATTCCTCCCTCTGCCCCATGAGCAATCCTCCTGTCCTGGGAATTTCACACAGCCCTGAGGCAGAAGGACTGCAATCCTACCACCATGGGGGTGTGTAGGGCACCCCTGCAGCTGGAAGCCCCTCAAATGGGGTGCTTTGGGCTCCTAACCTGCATCAGCAATAAGGTGGAATGGGATCTAATGCACATGTGGCATAGCAGGAGGCAAGATGTGAATCGAGCATTAGATCCCATCATGCCTTTACCTACACGTGTAGAGGGAGCCATGTAACCTCAACCTTTTTTTTCCATGTTTGCAAGATCAGGGACCCAGTGAATATGCAGAGGCATACAAATATAATGGTTCAGTTCTGAAACAATCAGAACAACATAATATTCAACTGATTTATTAGCTCTCTGAAGTGCCCACCTTGATCATATGTGAGGAACAGGTAATTTAGGGTAATGGTTTCTCTTTCCTGAAGGCTCTCTCCTCAAGGGTACTACAGGGTTCTGTAATGCTACCCCATCTCTTCTTCACAAACATGTAAGGCAGGTTGAGAGGTAGTAAAGAAACACTGACTGCAATGCATTCAATACACTGATAACACAACTCTAAATATCTATGTCTTCTCTGGCTGAAGATGATAAATTAATTACCCAATGCCTACATTAACTTGTTAGGTCCTGACTGCACAGAAAATGGATGTGGCCAAGATCACTCCACCTTTACTCCCAAACCCTGTGCATCCCACCCCATGCCTGACAAGACAAATGTCACTTTTTTCTCTTTTAGGACAATCTTGCTACAATTACTGATGCATTTGCTGCCTGGAAACTGGGTAGCTGTTAGCATTGGGTTGCTGTTAGCTGTTTGCATAGAAATTTCAGAAACTGAAGCTAAGGCTGCAACCTGTGTGTCAGGTACATTTGTACATTTGGAGAGCATTAAATAGGGCTCTGGAACCTGCATGGCTACTAAATAGCTTTGGGATTCAAAGTGTTAATTTTATTTCGTGGTTGTACTTCCATTCATTTTGTTTGAATCTCCATTTTGCTATATATCACTGATATATTTTCCCCACCTAAAATGCCCTGCTTAACGGATTCTATTTTAATAAGAATCCATAAGTCTGAATTCTATAAGGTTTACTTCTTACCTCTTTTTTTGAAAAAGCTCCAATCCTACCAGAAGATACATGGTTGTTTCTCTGAACTTTTTATATTCTTGATGCCACCTCTGCGCATGAGAAAATATATTTAGAACATTCACTGCATGATATGCTAATTTATATGAAACATCATAATCTGTATATAGCATCACACACTTATAATGGACCTAATAAATAATTATATTAAATTCTTTCAGTAGCATACCCAACTTCTGAAAACATCTGCTATAAGACTGGAAAATAATTACAGTTTTGATAATCAAAAAATTCTTTTTTTGGAATGAACTGCCAATTGAAAGGAACAATAAAAGCACACTAATGGAAATCCTAATCAAGATTATAAAAGCTCTTGCTTCCTGTGAAAAGCAAATGAAAATGCAACCTATTTTTTTTCACCTGTGTATCACTCCAAAGCATTTACATGAACATAATACATATCTGAAAAATTATGACAGTCGAAACATTAAGCTTTAATTTCAATCTGCGAATGGGGGAAAAAATCTTAAAAATCTGTAAATCTGAAATGATGAATACCTCGTGTTATGTCACAGATAAAGGAAGTATCACCTAGATAGCGAAATAAAATATTTAATCATGTTGTATGGTCTTTATACCTTAGTTACTTTATTTGCATTTAATGACACAAAATGTTCTACTTCTAAATGACTAGTAGACTAGGCAAAATATCTGCTATTGTGCAAATCCTCCAGTCCTTACTCTCCCTAAAAGAGACTGAAGCACAGGAGGGAAATCTGTGCTTCAAGACAGAATGTACTTTAGGCCTTCAGGATGGCAAATATGCACACAGCAGATTGCTTTTTTTTTAATTTTTTTTTTTTTGATTTGCCGAGATGATTACTTACTCTTTGTCTCTCCAGGGAGAGAATTTTGCCCCACAATGATAAAAGATAAGGTTTAAGTGGGGTATGGAGACTTGCATAGGTCGCCTGGAAGGGATTAATTATGTTCTAAATCAGAAGTGGGCCAGAAAAGGGTCTCTAGGCTAGTGTGCAGGTCAGAGGCAGCTGTGCTTGGGCCAGTGGGCAGGGCTGGGAAGGTGGGATGCTGCATGCAGGGCATTCCCTGTGCTGGCCCCTGTGCCTCAGGCTCATTCTGGGGCTTGGACTTTAGGCAACACAGGCTGCACAGCACCATGAGCACTGCTCGCAACCCAGGGTTCCAGCATGGGGTGTGCGTTGCATGCATGCTGGTTTCAGGGAGGTCAGAATTAGAAGCCAGTGTACAGGCAGGGTCCCAAATGAAGCATGCGCCCCATGCTACCAGCCCTACCTACAGCCCAGAGGCAGCATAAAACCCAGAGCAGGGTTGGCATGTAGTGCAGACAATGCACAGGCTGGATCTAATGCTGCAAGCTCTACTGACAGCACAGGGGGCAGTAAATACTGCACAGAGTACCACCCCCCCAAGACAGCCCTGTGAGCTGGCTCTGGTTGGCCCAATACAGACAAGCCTCAAAGTCAGTGCATGGCGCTGGTTCCAGCCCATATGCCAGACAGGCTCCGCATGCCCCATGCCAGAAGTATGACATGCCTATTCGTAACGAACTACACACAAAGATTAAAGCAGGAAGGGGTAGCTGGGCTCCACTCTGCTCTGCTGCAGCAGCCACCACTTTCTGCAGGTGGCAGCTGAAGCTCAGGGACTGCTGGGGGGAGCAGGGAGCTACAAACGCGGTTCCCTGGCCCCGTAGCTCTGGTAGCTGGGGGCCCCCTCTGGCAGGGATGGGGGAGATCAGTGGGCACCACTGACGGCCATCAGCAGGTCCAAGGGGCTGTGGGTGGGGAGTGAGGGGAACCAGCAGGGCCAGGGGGTTGTGGCTTGGAAGTGAGGGACAATAGCACGGGTAGGGCATTAGCATATCAGGGCTGCTCAACATTCCCCCAAAGCAGCACGGGGTGTGGGGAAGGCAGCCGCAGCTGGATCCACACCCTGTTGAGCAAAGGGGGAAGGGGGAGCTCTGATTTTCCATCATAAAAAACCCAAAATCAGATGCCAAAATTTAAAGGTATTTAGAATTAATTTTATTACAGTGATTGAGGCACCGGTAGGCTTCTGAATTGCTTTAAAATTGTAAATATATAAATAAAATATTGTGTTCAACTGATACCCATGTATATAGTGGCATTTCATTTTAACCACAGAAAAGTGAGGATTTGGGGGTTTTTAATTAGAGAATTTGTAAACTTATAAGAGAAATTATGATTTTTAAACAGAAAACCAGGATCCCTGCTGATGACAGGCAAATAGTAGCTAATACCTGTGCAATGTTTAGCTCTGAAACTGCATACTATTCACTAGAATCATGCAAGCTACTTTAATCCTTGCCCATTTCAGAGAAGAGAAAGCCAATCATTTCCTGTGGTAAATTAAGGGGATGGTCAGTGATGTCAGCAAGCATTAAGGAGTAGGCCAAGAGCAATGGGTTAATTTTATTTATGGCCCAAATCAATTTTGAGTTAGGATTCCAGATAGAATAAACTGCAGCACTGGAATGTTTGCATTTAGACAGCGATTCCATGAATAAACTCTTTCAACAAATGATATTACCATATTTACAAGATGACCCCCCCCCCCCAATAATTACATTCTATATATGGAAAATTTATAAATTTGATACAATTTCCCAGAAATAGAATCTAACTATTGGACGCTTGCCTTGAATTTGTCCCCTTCCCATTATCACAGCAGGGAAAATAAATCTGGGTTGTCAACATACCACTCCCTCCCCCCACCACAAAGGATCCATGTGCTAATTAGCCCTCCAATCATGACTGGAACTGAAGTCTTGAGATCCGCCAAACATACATATGCAGATGAGGTGCAGGGCAACCTGGTCCAGCTCCATCTCATGGAAGGCGAAGCCACACTAATCTGTGACAGGCTGAGAGAGGAGGCAACAGAGTGATTCTGGGTGAACTGTTTGGAACCCCATTTGGTGGTGTTTGCCAGGCATTTAAGCCTGGGGAAGAAAGGGGAATAATTTGAAATGAGAAAGGAAGGTACAGCTCAGCTGGGGGAGTAAAGAAGAAGTTGAAATATATTTAGTGTAGTGGTTCACCATGACTTGAAAAAGAGCTGATGCTAAAAGGGGATTGAGCACAATGGACATTACTATATATCTTATTCAGATGAGTTTCACTAACCTATCCACACAGTAGGTTCCCATCAATATGCTTACCCATTATGGGCCATGTGTTTGATAGTCATGCTCAGTATTGGCTGCATTTAATCAATTTCATAGTTGGTTTCCATTACTAAGCACATGGGTGTTTTTGGCAGTAGCTTAATTATAAACAATGTATTTAATGAGGTTTCTTTGTATGAGAAGGTAAGACAAGGAACATTTTTCTGCACGCTGACTGGGGGGGAAAAAGCCTCATCTTATATTTGAACAAATATGTAATTCTCTAATGATCTGAGCACAAGAAATCTGGTTAAGATGCAACGACTTTCATTTAGTTGTTGGGTAAAATTTATGGTACAATTGAATATGCAATGAAGAAAACGCTAACCTCATACTCTTCCATGTTTATTTCATCAGGTTTTATCATTTCAAGTTTAGCTTGAGCCACTTTCATTATGTTACGGCACCTTGAAAACAAAGAAAGACAAACTGTCAGAAAAACATCGTTAACAAGAGAAAACACAAGAAATATTGTAAACTGCCAAAGAGACTAGCCCACAGCACACATGTAAGTACCATCAAAGCATCACAACTGTAGACACAAAGTACAAGCACAAATTGTAAATTTGCTCTCTCTTCTTCAGGTTCAAGCCATGTGTGCAGGGGGGACTCATAATTATGTTAAAATATGTAAATTAATTGGCATGCTTTAACTTTCTTCTTCTGCCAGACTGTCCTGTTATTTTTTTAAGTTAAAAAGCAGATGGTTTAAATTCTAGTTGGTACTTAGATCAAGCTGCAGTTGTATAGCCTCTCTCACTGTATTAAACAGGTAAAACTGGAAACCAGAATACAACACAAATTGCCATGCACACAAGCAAGTTTCCATCTAACCAAGTGCCCTATGTCTTAATGGATAGGGATAGATATTACACATAAACCAGTTTAAGTAATCAGAAACCAGTTTAAAACTTGTAACAGAATGCCTAAACCAATTTGAAAATGGCTAAAACTGGTTTGAGATAAACTTGGCTGAATGTAGTATCAGACTTAACCGATTTGGGTCAAACAGGTTTATGCAATGTCTGTCCCAGACCCCTTGCTGGTTTAAATTTAATCAGACTCTCCCAGCATCCCAGCATGCTCTCTTGGCTGGGCGGGGCTCTCTGCTCCACAGCAGGGCTGCCCCCTCCCCTCTGCTACCTGGCTGCAGCTCCAGCAGAGACTTGCAGGCACAGAGCCTCTGCCTGGCTTTTCCCTGCTAAGCAGGGATTATCCCCCCTGCCCCTCTGGTTTATGCATACACCTCAGCATTAGCTAACAGACCACATGCTGGCTACGGTCCATGCTGTGGGAGACAACAATGGTAGACAGGTTTTTTTGAGCTAATCAACGGGTAGCTTAATGTCCTTCCTTGGAAAAGCTGTTTAAAAAGAGCTTAGAGAGAGGCTTTGTTTTCTTAATGGGTTGATAAACACTGAGTTAGAGGTGATAAACATTCCCTGCTGGGCAGCTCAGGGAGGTGGGGGGGAGGAATAATCAGAATATCCTGCTGGGCCTGGCTGCGCCCCCTCAGTTCAGCCCTGTGGAGTGAAGGGAGGGCTGCTCTACTCTCCCTCCCCCCCCACCTTCTAGCCTGAGCCACTGCAAGCATGCACCTGCATTTCTAGAATGAAAAGGGAATGTCTATCCACCTTCAAATTGGTTTAAGTTTTGCAGATAAGACTAACCTGCAAAGACTGAATCAATTCAGGCTCAGGCTTTCTGAATGTCTGTCCCTAGCCAAAGTGACTAGCCTAATTTGTTTCAGAGGAAGGTCCAAGAATCCATATTAACAGGCAATTGCTGCATACAACATGCCACCTTTTTCAAAAAACAGCAATTAAAAATTGGGACTGTGCACTACAAGCAAAGAAATACAGTGACAGAAGTTTCTGCTACTTCATCCTAGGTGAGTTAACATGAAAGTAAAGTCTGCACATAATCCACAGGGGGCAGAGCAATGTCCAGGCTCTCTCCCTAGCTGTTTCTATGCAGTTACTTACTACAAGGAAGATCCTTTTTTCTTCATTCTCCCTTTCAAAAACAAATGTATCTTATTCTGGGGTGTGTTGTATGCAAAAAATTCTGGTGTGGAATTATAGTCACTAACCAAATTATTTCAGACACAGGGATGTATGTATCTTACATTTGTTTATATAATATGTACCTATAGTTTATTGTGTGATTTGCCTATACACCTTACATTTTGATCACAAATGCATAGGTACAATATATGACTGCCATACCAGAAACAGAGAAAGGAACTAAAGAAACAGCCACTAGTCATTGATATTTTGCAGGAGACTGCACAAGGCCTTGCACAGTAGAGGTTTCAACTGGTTCAGAATATGAAGTAAAATCAAATATGTTGTCTTCCAGCAAGAGATGCAATATCTGTAGAATCTACTGCAACAGATTCCAAACACATTTGGAAAAAACAACTAATCTTCATTAGTAATTTTTATAGTGTGTTGCTATATTTACAGGTGTAAAAATTAACTGATGTGCAAGTTAGATAAATTATACTCAGGGTGTGCATGCCTGTATTGCATACATTGTACATTAAGCAGTATCTTCCTTTGAACTTTAAACGAAACATTTAAGAGCATTCATGGAACACATTCCAATTACCTGTCATCAAAGCTCAAATTGTGATCTGCAAACTGTTCCAGTAATGATCTCTCAATTATTTTCTTTGGCGCTTGGTTCTGGATAAAGTAGACTATTGCATGATTCAAACGGTAATCATGTTCACGTGGTGTATCTTCCTGTGCCATTTTTAGTAGCCGGGCATATTCCAATTTAATTGCCTAAATAATTTAAAATAAATGTATCAGTTTTCTTTGTCTAATTAACCTTCCAATATTTATGAATAGTATACTTTATATCAGATTGCTTCTTGCTACAAAAAGATTCCTAATAATCCCCCTCCCCTGACCTACTTAAATATAGTCCCAACCATTTAAAACTGCCATGGTTAATGCAGGGTGCTGTTCAAATCAGGGGAACAGCATCAGCCATTTGTCATCCACAAAGGCACAAATACCCTGTTAAGTGCAGCAGCTATTTTGGGCAGATTCTGCTCTCTCGTTTATTTCTCTGCTAAAACCAGGCAGGAAATTCATGTTCTTGTCTGTTTCACTGCTAATCCTAGCCATGGTTTTACCATCTACTTCATATAGCAGGCAGATAGTCCAATATGCCTGCTGTATGGAGTAAGGACAATATTTCACACTGCACTTGTACTGTGTAAGTCATTATATGTTTAAAAAACCCAGGAGTTGTTTTTCTCTCTCCCTCTGCCCAGCAAACCTCAACAATTATACGCTTATGTACATCTTGAACATAGATCTTTTAAATTCCTTCATAGCCAAGCACTTGGACAGGTTCCTCAGCTCCAGGTCTATTGGACTGCATCAAGATTTATTACTTCTGGCTATTAGGAATTCAATCATCTCCCCTTCAAACACACTCTCCACTTCACAGCACTAAAACATGTGGGTTCTGAACGACATGAGAAAACAGGAAAGTACCCACAGTCTGCAAGCAACCTAGAGGAACCTGTGTGTGGATTCATTTCTGTTCTTTTCCTTGGCCATATCATAATGTTACTGGCAAGATTTACATGATCTTACAAATGAATGGATCTACCATCAGGATAAACCAAAGGTCCACTACACAGCAATTTGGATAATCTGGAACCTGATCTATACTTAGCAAGTTAGGTCTGCACAACTATGCTAGCTAGAAGCCTACAGGAGGAAGGGGGAGGGGGGTGAATTCACTTAGCTGACTTAGCAGTGCTGGTAAGTGCCCTACTGTTGACATAAAAGGAAGACTGCAAGAGTCCTTTTGATGCATCTTTATTAGGTATACTTACCAGGAATAACTACTCCAATAAATTCTACCTGAGCCTGAAAGAAAGTACTTGATACATACATACACACTTTTCAGATGACTGACTACCTACAGTAAAAAAAAAAAATGGCTTCCATATACAAGTTTATTTTTTACAGTAGTATAACAACAGATAATTATCTAAATTTTAAGATCCCTCTATATTGATCAAAATAAACAGTTTTTCTTTAAACCGTATACCTATGAGAAGATTAGGACAAAACAACTCATCACTGAAAGACTATTTAAGTTTCTTGTGGGAAGCTTTATACAGAAATCCTGAAGCATAGTCCTAGATTCTCCATGACAAGGCAATCACACCCTAAGGACTTCAATTTTGAAGAAAGAGGACTTATTTCAAATGCATTTCAAAAGGACAACTTTCAAGCTACAAAACCATAAAACATTATATCTGCATATACACACATGCGCACACACAGAGATTATTCCATTATATGCACTCTTATTTTTGAAACACTATGCAATGCAAATATGTCAAATATTTTATTATAGCATAGGTTAAATAAGAACATGTACAAAAGACTATGCTAAACAGTAATATCAAGTTTGGAGATATGAGCTTCAACAAGTCAAGACATTTAACTCAACTTGTATACTTAAGCTAAAGTTTTACTTGACAATTATGTCCATATAGTATTAATATACTTTGCTATAAATACTAAAACCATTGTTAACACAAAGTTAATAAGCACAGATCTCACATCAGTTTTTGCAAGCTCCAAAAATGTAAGGATTGATAATTTTTCAAAGCATTGAAAGTCATGTAAGTTTTCACAAAATACAAATCTAGAAAGATTTGGGGTTGGGACAATTGAAACATTTTTGGTAATTTCAGAATTTCCGATCTCTGCTTTGTTCTTTAGTTTTTTAATTTCACTAAATTCTAAAACTTTTTTTTGTATTAAGACAGCCTTTATTTTTGTTTCTAAAAAGGTGAAGGACACCTCTTTGGCAAATGTAAAGGTTAAAAAAAAATTCCAAAGCATAACATTTATTGCAACATCCTTTTAATCAAATGTAAAATATTTTGTACAATCAGCATTTTCCAAGTTTCGTTTGTTTTTTCTTTAAACTCCCAACTAGTTCTATTAACAAGAAACCAGAATAAAGCTCTCTCCAACTTTCTAAGAAAGCTACCTTACTAAATAGTCGACTGTGGAACTTGTACATCTGTCTTCATCAAGCTTACGTATTTAACCACACATGTACACAACACACACACACACACACACACACACACACACACACACACACAGAGTTCAAAAAACATTATGCATTAAGAAGTACATTATATTCAACATCATATTCCTTTTAAGAAAAACTTTTAAAAATCCAAGTCTCCTAACCAATCAAGCAAGTATTACTGACAGTTATTTTAAAGTGTTCTGCACAGAATCTTATTGATTTTATTTACTTAATTTGTGATTTTGTGGCAATTGCAAAACCAGGCATTGCTCACAAAAATTAATCAATCAATCAATCAATCAAGCTTACTAAAAATAAAATGCTGGCTCCCCAGTGGGAGCCAGCAGGGCCCTTATAGCTAATGTGGCCCGGCCTCACAGCTTACTGAGGGAGGAAGGGAGAGGGGGAGTGGGAGGGGAAGCCAATGGTCCAAATATTAGCCAGAATGGCAGCCACCTCCATTTCGCTCCCCGCACATCCTGCCACTGATTGGCTGAGAAAGTTGTCTGTTGCCCAGCCCCACCCCTCTCTGCCAATCAGCAACAAAGGATGGGGCTCCACAGGGTGGACAGCCCTCTCAAGTCAATCACTGATGAGGAGTGGGGCTGCAGGACAGGCATCCCTTGCAGCCAATCAGCAGCAAGGGGAGGGATCGCTGGGGCTCCTTGGCCAAAAGAGGTGTGGGAGGGCTACACTACAATAAGCGTGCAAAAACAGCAGCCAGTGCTATGATCCGCCTGGGAAATTGCCCATCTGTTTCCTCGATTTGGGTAGGTCCCTAAACCTAAAAAGCCAGAAATACTTCTACTCCAACAGAACTGCACACCATACTACTATAGTTCCACTGCTGGCAAACTAATGACTCATGTTTTTACATACGAAAAATTCAAGATTACATATGTAAGAAAGCCAATGAAACAGGGACATTTTTTCCAAAATTTACTGGTTTAACTGAAAAATTGAACAAGTTCTCTAGTCAAGTCCTCTCCATCAAATATACAATATCAAAAGTATAAGTTAACAAAATAAAGCTATTCAGATTACTGTAAGGAAGACCACACAAGACCAAAAAAAGTGTTCTGTCTTTGAATTGCACAATACTGACACTGTTGCTGTCATTTTTTTAAGCTCATGAGGCTATGTTTAATAGTCCTATGAATTATTATTAAAAAGATTAATTATGGGAATACTATTATTGAAAAATTAAAGCTAAGATTACAGAATAAAATACTGCTAAGCCCTTAAAAAACACATGTTGTAAGATTTTCTCTCAGGGCGAGACTTTTTAACTGAAGGACTGAACCCTAGAGAAAGCAGACTGAGATGACAAATGCTAGAATATTTTAATATGCATTAAAAAATTTTTAAAAAGCATTCTAATCATAAAAAGTCAGAAGAAAAGTAAAGATGAAAATGTTAGTTATACCTTAAAGAACCCTGCTTCTGGCCCACACCTGTCATAAACATTCCTGGCTTTACCTATAGCCATGATAATACCTTGCATGTTCGGGGTCAGCATGACCTGCCACAAGGGATTTAAGGTAAAAGTTTTGAATGATTAACATTTTAATAATTCAAGTCCATATGCTTTTACACTCATGCAAGATGAAGAACAACCTAGTGCATGCATACATGGAATGGTAAATATTTCAATGTTAGAATTTTCTTCCCCGTGTTTGAAAACGAATAGTAACATTTTGTGTATTTCTACGACAGAGGCATACCACCAGATTAGAATGAAATTAGAATTATACCAAATGCTCTGAAACATTTTTGAAATGTTATAACTAGAACTTTCGAAGAAAAAGAACATGCAGTGTTCAAAACTAACAGCAAATATTGGTCCTGACCTAACAAGGAACAAAATTAATTATTATATTACTCTGTAATGATATCTACTATCCAAATCAATGTATTTTAATTTTAATAACTTTACTATTATTCTTTTACATACACACACAAATCAGAATGAAGGTCCAATTGTGCTAAGTGCTGTACAAATACATAAGACAAACAAGATTTCTGGAGCATGAAGAGCTTCCAGCTAATGGAAAGAGAGTCGGAAGGAAGGCAAAGGTAACACCAGTAAGATTATGCAGTTGAACAGGACAGTTATGCACAACTTGAAAAGCCCTTCCAAGTAGTTTAGAAAAATCTTTTTTTATATCTAAGCAAACACAAATTGCTTTCATATGGCCCTCAAGTACAGCCATTTTTGGCTGGTGCCAAAAATGACACAAGACTGCAGCAAAGGCACCTTGTATATAAAAGAAACAAACCAAAAAACACACAGTTTACAGAAGACAACAACAGCAAGTAAGATTAGCAACACTAGGAAATAAGGTACGGCAAGATAATGCTGCCAAACACAGAAGCGGCTATGTTTGGAAAGGCTGAATTATAAAGGTCCTTTAAGATGAAAAGTAAGAACAACTGCAGTCAGACTTCTCGTTAAAGTAACAGCATGAATTAAATTGTTTTGTTTCCATCCTATATAGGAGTTGTAAGTTTCCTAGCAAAACAGATAGATCCTGGCTCAGGACATGAACAAATGAACAAACTACTGAAAGTTAAAAATGGGCCAAGAACTTATATAATGTATCAGATGCTCTGGGGTAACTGTGTGCCAGCTCTTACTCTGTGGCAAGTAAAAGCTAAACCACAGTTGCTTACTAATCCCCAAGAGGTAGCAGGATATAAATTTGAATTTTTAAAACCAAAAAAAGTCAAGGGCCAGGAAACATGGTGTTCTCGGCTCCTCTTCTTCCTCCTCCTCTTTTTTTTTTTTAAAGCAACCATCTCCACCTAGATCTTTCAGCTCATACCTTTAGGACAATTTGCCCTTCTGAGTCTAAAATGCCTAAGCTTTGCATATATGGAATGGGGTTAACAATAACTTTATTCAGCTGACAGAAACAAAGACAGTCAAAACACCATTCATTATTCTAACAGTTTAAAGAAACTGAACAATAGTTAACAGATACTGTCACAGATCACGTGGCCAAATACAAAAAAATCCAATAGCAGAAAAGTGCACATATATATATATAGATATATATACACACACACGCACATATATATATATATTTCTTCAGTACAAACTGCTATACCATGCAAAAGCGTGCCCGATTACAGAAGCTGCTGCGCTCTTTCCACATTTCTGTTGTTGCAGATTTCAAGAGATCAACAGTCACAAGTTGCTAAGCATTTAGTTGTGCAGAAATCTGTTAAGTGTTACAATGTGCAAACATGCCAAAAAGTCTCTCGTCAAGCAGCAATAGAAAGCACCAGAGTAGGAGCAGTGCAGAAGACTGCAATCAAAGGTACCTCATCGTCATAACCCCCCTCCTCTGACTCAATCACAAAAGTCCCTATATCAGGAATCGCCACCTCTACAACTCGCTGGTTAGGAGCTGGTTGAGCTGGGGCGTTATCAGAGTTCTGCAGGAGAAAATCATCATCAGTATGAAGAATTAGGGGGGGGAAAAGAAAGAAGGGGAAAAACATGAATTGACAGATTGATTAAATAAAATGATGCAAGTTTCTGAGACTTGCTACTATTTATGGTATGATACTGCACTATTAATGTGTAAACGTTTTAAAGAAATTAAAAACCAAGGGGTGGAGGGGGAAGTAAATTTGAAGTTAGATTCACAAAAAAAGAACAGCTATTAGCTTTCATATGACATTTCTCCTTTCCTTTTTTCCCCACTGATGCAGGTAAAAATGTTTAAAAACCCAGTAGATACCATTTCAACTCCAGAGAATACACCATTCAAGGTCAATTTTAAAACAGTGTTGTAAATAAAATGCATCCTTGAATCACAAAACCTACTAGAAAAATATTAAAACAAAATGTAATATAACATTTGTGCAAGTAAAAGGCAGCAAACCTCAGCCTCAAGTTTTTATACATTCTAAAAACTATAATTAAATCTAGTTATTTGACTGTGCTTTATCTTAAAAAAACCTAAGTCGTTCACATAATGCACTGAACATTCCCACAAGTCTTGGCATTTAGTTTATCTTAGCACACTTCTATAACAGCAAATTTTCCCTTCAATGGTGAAATTATTTCCCAATGTAATCTTCAGCACCTTTACTGATGATACTGTATGGTTAATGTGTTCTTGAAAGATATTTTGAACAGATTTTTAACAATGATATTTTCAACTACTATAAACTGTCACATTTGCTGGAGACATGATGATTTACACCCCTGAGGATCTACCCCTTGACTCTAATCAAAGCAAGCATGTGCCATAGGAGCAAAATGCACTAGCAACCATATTATTTGGGAAGCTCTATCACAGTCATTCTTGATCGGGGTGCCAAGGCACCGTGGGGTGCTGTGAGATCCTTTGAAGAGCACCACAGTTAGTGCGAGAAGATAAACAGGGTAGAGGCAGGCTCTCCCTGTCTGGTTCCTTCTTCGTCCCCACAGCCTGGCCTTCTTCAAGGAGGTAAGCAAAGTAATAAATAAAACTTGTTTCTGAAATGGGGTTCTGCTCATTTCACAAAAGCTATCAAGGGGTGCTTTGAGTTACATATGGGGTGCTCAGAGTCTAAGAAAGTTGCTCTAGTATAAACATTTCTACTATATTAGAATCCAAAAACTGCAATCAGAAAGTAGCCCTTCCCTCACCTAACACCACATAAGCATCTAGGAAGAGCTTACAGTCTGAGATGCAAAAACACATGAAATGGACAGGAAATGATTGTGGGGATGAGTGATACATGGCTTGTTGAATGTTTTTCCAGATTCTATTTTTTTCTTTAAAGATCAGCCAATGTAGTGATGGAGAGCAATGCAAGAGTCAGTATGCATCAGGGAGTAGAATAATGAAGGCAAGGGAAGACAAACAGACAGATACTGAAAAGGGGAAATAAAGGAAAGGAAGAAGACAGTCTAGTTTTGCCTGCTTATAGGTGCCTATGTGCTTTTCACCTGCTAATGTAAGAGTAACTAATGAAGTAGCTAAAAAAATTATATTTGAACCAATTAACTTCTAGTGTGGGATGCTAGTTTTTTTTATGATAGAGGGATTAACAAATATTAATACAAATAGCAATATTAAGGTGGCACAAGGATATAATGCATACCCTTAATACATAAGTATTGTGTGTTCAGTTACATGAATAAATATAGCTTCCCAAATAATTCCTCTCCCAGTCCCATGACCACAACCCAGCAAAACCCAGAGATTGATTATTCTCTGTAATTAATTATTCCCTGAAATATGATTGGTCTGAATGAAGGGCCTGTTCCTTGCAGTCATCTGCAGCAGATGACAAGCAGCACCTGAACTTCAGGATGTGCCAGGCCACTTTCACAGAAATATCCACCAGGATAGCCCCCACCACTGTGTGACAAGTATTTGGCATAAAGGCAGCCTTCATGATGTAAAAAAAATGTAAGATGCTGTTGCCACTTGAAAACTTGCCACCCCCAACAGCCTCTGGTCTGTCATTAACTGCTCTGGTGCTGGCAATTCCAGCGAGAGAGGCAGTTCAGAAGGTGTCCCTGACTCCAGCAGGCAATAACACCATGCTTCACTTTCCTCACCACCCGAGGAAGGCTGGCAGTGGAAGGAAGGACACTGCCAGCCTTGCGGAGGCTTTGTACATGGGTTCATGCATTACTGCAATCAATACCTCCATCTCATAGCTCCTGCAATGCTGTGCCCACCCCTGAGACAACATGGCACTGTGCAAAACATCTACTTCCTAGTCCATGGTAATCCCCTGGAAAAAAAACCACCCCATGACACGCTGCTCTGCCTCAGCTTCTGAAGAGGTGCTTAACAGTCCCCTTCACACCAGCCATGGCCTTTTCCATGCCTTGAATGATGCTCAGCCAACCTTTGGAGTCACTGCACACAAACTCCACCCCTCATCGGTGTTTGCTTGATGCTCTTGTTGAGCTTGCAGATAAGGCCAGAAATGCTGATGGGACATGGCTAGATATTTATACTGCATGATAGGAGATTCATGCCATGTTCTGAGGATGCTGATGCAGGACTGGATTCTGGAGAAGGTACCAGTAGGATTCAGAGAATCAGCAAAACGATCAGCAAAGTCGACTCAAGCAGGGCAGTACTCTGGGAACTCCTTGAAATCCACTTCCATGCAGATTGTGAAGCATTCTGTCATGTGACTGAACCAAGACAGCACCGAACAGCAAGTCAATGTGACCACATGCATGCTTGGCTCTGTTTCCCCAGGGAAGTAGAGTTTGGAGTCTGTCACAGAAACGTCCTGGAGCCAGGGGATGGGAAAGGGAGGAGCAAGATCTTCTGGGATATTGGAGGACTTAACCACAATCTGTAGTACAAGTGTAACTGCACAGGCATCACACACCACTAGAAAAAGTTGTGCTGCCAAGAAGTTTTGTTCTATTCATCATCTTTTCTGTGCTGCAAATTGCTTGAATAGCTGTACATTCCCTTTTCCAGTGCTAAAAGGGCATATTTTGGTCCTACAAATGTAATGCCTGTTCATGGCCTAAGCTGTCTACTCGACCTAAATGCCAGGCTTAGGCACACATGAAGTGGGAGATGCCTCATTCTTAGCTGAAAGAGGAAACAAGTATGTAGTGCGCCAAGTGGAAGCAGCATAGTGCCAAATGCCAGATTAGTTTCCTTGTTGATTGCAACTCTAAGGTAGCAGTGGCACTGTGATTGAGAAATGAAAGACACATCTTTGCTTGTATTAAGCATCAATCCAATACTCCACCTCCAAGTGAGCTGAAAAATTTGCCTTTTGGGGGTACGATGGACTAGAGTTCCAGACAACCAGAAAAGTAAGGACAGCTTTTTAAGCAAGATACTAGAATTTTGCACAGATTTAGTTTGTACATATGCTGTCTCTAAGATGCCTCAAGCAAGCCATAAAATAAAGGAGGAAGTAAAATTGATACATTTTATGTTGTTTAGATCTCACAGTTATTATTCCAAGAAGCCTGTGCTACTTTTAAAAGGTATCAGCATTCTTGAAATGCCTTTGAGCCAATAGATTGATAGATGGTCAAAGATACTTCCTGAATGCAAAGAATTATTGTTGAATTTTAACTTCATAAGGAATTAATGAAGCAGCCTCATTTGAAACTCTACTGAAAACTAACACAAGCAAACAAGTACATATCTATGAACTATTGACTTCAAAAATATTAATCCAATATTCTAGCAGATGCAATATACGTATTTTAAATAAGTACATGCATTTGATCAACTGTGAAGACCAACTCTGGAAGTATGCAATTTCTAATATTAAAGCCCTAGAATACTGTCAAACAGAGAGGAAGAATTAACACGTCAGATGCTCATTATTCGCACCCTAGTATTACATTAACACTACTGACAGGCTTGAGAAACATGCTGCTTATCGAGTGACTGAATACAAGAAGAGAAATACTTCAATGGACTTTTGCTATGTTTTGGATACAGCAGTACTTTATATATACCTCAATATAAACTGTCCATGCACAATTTTAGAAAAATAACCATAGGTAGACATAATCACATCTATAATTTTTGTTTAAAAAAATCTATTATACCTCATAGCAAGTATATTACACACATGCTATGTACCTGAATAGTTGTACTCTATTATAAACCTTTATCATATATTCCATTTCTTCTGTACAAAGCTTTAACAGCCCCTAAGGAAGGTTTAGTGTTTTTTTTTTTTTTTAAGGGAATCACTTTTCTCTTTTATCAGACATAACCCCAACCACTTGGTAAGATAAGGAGCAAAGAAGAGATATTAAAAGATTCCAAATATCCTCACCGCTTGCATGATAGCTTCAGGACTTCTTTCTTCTTGTTCAGCTAATGCTTTAGTAATTGCTTGTACAGATTCTTCTTTCAAATGTTTTGAGAGATCAGTCCTTGATGGCTGTTCTAGATATTCTGGATCACCTGCTTGAACTTGGTAATAAAAATAAAAGTAATTATTAGTCAACCAAAAAGAGACACAATGATTTAGATCAATGGAGGACAACCTCATGGTAGGCATGCCACAAATTAGCCCCAAACCCTCCCTAAGTACCACCCCATGCCCTTCCCCTGCCCATTCTGCTGCTCTGCTTTCTGCCCTGTCTGCTACTGTGCTGCTTGTCCCCCTCCCTGATTTGCCTGCCACATGCCACACACAGAGGCTACCTGTGCCACTTGTCACATGCATGCCACAGGGTGGCCATCCCTGATTTAGATCACTGTATTTAATTGCTAAAGAAAAACTTGAACACAAACGCAAAATAGGTCAAGTAATTCATACAAAAAACCTGCTTCAATGCTATGTTAAAAATTAATCTAATCCTTTCTCATTTAATAAAATACTGCATAGTAAATACTTTGATAATTAGAAAAGATTAAAATGGTTTATATTAGATAGACAATAGTCTTGAATTGATAAATCAGATCTGTACCAGTAGAAGGAAACCTGTGAAGGAGTACTGAAGTCAAGAAAGTTATTCACAGGTACAGGTATTACACTTTTGCTGGTGTAAGTGACTGAAAACTGATCTATACCCTTAATAGAAGTTCAGCACACATAGACTAGTTTAAAACTGACAGAATCCGGTCTAAGATTTGCTCCCCAACAACGAAGAGCAAATGTGCATCCTGTGCGCTACTGATCTAAACTATGCCACTTACAGAAAACTGTGCAACTTAGATCAATTCCACCTTGGGCTTTTTGAATATTTGTACCTAGCCATACAAGTATAAGGTTCTACCTGAACCTATAATAAAATCAATGCTTACAATACAAAAAAAATCTAAAACTCTAAAATTTAAAATTCGTATTCCATAATATAATCAATACATTTTTTAACTAAGACGAGACAAATCCCAAAATAAATCCCTTTTCATTTAAAAAAGTAGAATCATTACCTGGGAAAATAAAATATATTGTATTGACAACACTATTGCCTTGTATTAGTAAAACCATAAAAATGGACCTTTTTCATTAAATGATCAATATACTAGTAAAAAGAACTAAAACACTTTCAAGATATTAAGGCAAGACTAACCACTGGGAACCATTTCCCACTATCCTTGGGCAAACTCTGGAAAAAATAATTAAGCATCACATTTGTGGGAGCCCAGCAGGGGAAATAATGCTGAAAGGAAATCAGCACAGGTTCACTGCAAGTAGATCCTGCCTGACTAACCTTGTTTCTTTTTATGACCAGGTCAGAAAATGCATAGATGCAGGAGTCGAGGTAGAGGTCATCTACCTAGACTTTAAGAAGGCCTTTGATATGGTATTGCATTCCGTTCTTGTAAATAAATTGACAGGCTGCGATGCAGATGATTACATGGTCAGGTGGGTGGCAAATTGGCTTGTGGGGTTGCACCCAGAGGTGGATGGGTCGATATCAACCTGGAAAGATGTGGGCACAGGAGTCCCGCAAGGCTCGGTCCTTGAATCAGTGTTATTCAATGTCTTCATCAGTGACTTGGACGAGGGTGTAGAGAGCACCCTGTCCAAGTTCGCAGATGATACCAAATTATGGGGGAAAGTTAACACACCAGAGGGGAGGGAACACATCCAGGCAGATCCAGACAGTTTGGAAAAATGGGCAGAACGAAATAGGATGCAGTTCATCAAAAACAAGTGCAAAGTGTTGCATCTGGGCAAAAAGAATCACCAACACTCTTACAGGCTGGGGGATGACCTCCTCAGCAGCACAGCAGCAGAAAGGGATTTTGGAGTCATAGCTGACCCCAAGACGAGCATGAGTCATCAATGTGATGAAGTGATCAACAAGGCTAACCGCACTTTATCATGCAAGATCAGATGAATGATGAGCAGGTCCAGGGAGGTGATGCTTCCCCTCTATACAGCACTGGTCAGGCCATAGCTGGAGTACTGTGTCCAGTTTTGGGCACCGCACTTCAAGGGGAATGCGAAGAATCTTGAGAGGGTCCAGACGAGGCCACTTGTATGGTCAGAGGCCTGCAGGCAAGGCCCTACGAGGAGAGACTAAGGGACCTAGATCTCTTTAGCCTTCACGAGAGATCTTGTGGCTGCCTATAAATTCATCAGAGGAGGGCAGCAGGGAATAGGAAATGCTCTATGTACTAGGGCACCCCCTGGAATAACTAGGAACAATGGCCACAAAGCAACAGAAAGCAGATTTAAGTTGGACATTAGAAAGAACTTCTTCACAGTAAGGGTTGCCAGAATCTGGAATGGGCTTCCAAGGGAGATGATGCTCTCCTCTACCTTGGGGGTCTTCAAGAGGAAAAACTCAACAAGCATCTAGCTGGGGTTGTCTGAATCCAGTGCTCTTTCCTGACCAGGGCAGGCGGTTGGACTCGATGACCTATTGAGGTCCCTTCTGACCCTAACATCTATGACTCTATGAATCATTTACAAAAAAGGTAATGCTTTCAGTGTTTAAACTTTTTTTAATGCATCAATGTACTTAAAAAAAAAAAATTCACCAAAATAACATCTAGCACCTGTCACTACAAAATAAATGTTCTTCAGAGACTACTGCATGGCCTAATAGTCTCATTTCTTTTCCTGGTTATCAAGCTATTTTCTACTTTTATATTTAAATCTATTACTACTACCTATAGACCATATACAGCAATAATTCTTTCCTTTCTTTAGGGCTAAATTCTGGTCTCATTGAGAATTTGGAGTAGCTGAAACAAAGAACATTTATAGAAAAAAGAAAAAGGGGAGGTATGGAACATTGATGAGTTTTTTTGAAGTAATAGGCGAACGGGAGCTGCTAAGTACCTTGGAAATAATAGCCTGATTTTTCGATTTTAAAGCATGTACTCTGGTTTAATAATACTGGGGCTTTAGAAGGACAGAAAATCATGTCATATAAAAAGTCCAAGACATAGTCTTTTTTCCTCTAATAGTAAGCATAATATTAAATAACACTTACTAAAAGAAGAAAATTTATTTAAACTAAAAACACAATGGAACCTAATGCATATTTTAAAGGAAAAACTGGAAATCTGTCAGAACTTACTGTAGAATACAAGCCAGTTCTGAGGAAAAACATACGTCTTAAAAGACCCTTAAGTGAGGATTAATGCAGATGGGTACAGAGTTTTCTTTCTGGCTTTCTCCTCTTTCATCCCCAAAATGTCTGCAGACTAACCTGGAGCAGTAAAGGCTGCAGGAACCCTTGGGGTCTGGGATATTAACTTTTCTTGCTGTGCTTTCTGAGCAAGCTCTGCATCCCATTCTTCTATTTCTTTTTCAAAGCGCTTATTGTCTTCCTTGACATACTCCCTTAAGTCAGGCGGCAGCGTATCCATTCCAACAAGCATCTGACCAGTTTCCTTGTTAAATTCCTCTGTAATATCACACGATTTGTGTGTTTTATAAGATAATGGCATATAAAAAAGAACAGAAATACATGTAGATAAACAGCATTTGGACAGGTTTGTTGAAAATATACAATATAGCAACAAGGGTACAATAGTCTTACATTAATTATCTTTTTCAATCTGTTATTTTATAAATTAGTATCTTAGTCACCTTTTGGCAGAGTACACTGCTTTTGAAATTCCATTTTTGGGAGTACACAAACTTGGGTATCAAAAGCACTTGACCTTAAAAGCTTGGCTTTCTAGCTGGTAAAGTGGATTTGAATGTTCAGAGCTAAAACATAGTGAAACTGTACCCAACATGTCTTCCATTCTATATATTTGTAATATTATGAAACTCTCTTGAAGAAATGGGGACTTCATAATGGGGATGTTTTAAGACTGCCAACTACAAGAAGTATTTTTGCTTTCTCCTTTGAGAATTGTCTTGGTAGGTCCTAAAGGCCTGGGGGATTAACCAGGTGTAATAACATTCTGCAGCAGGACTAAGTACTTAAGGTGGCTTTGCCAACCTAGGGATAGCCAGAACTGCAGATATATGATCAATCCAGTGCCTAACCTCAGTTCTAATTAAAAAAAAGTGAGATGCCTAGCTTTTTGTTCTATGAAGGTAGCCTTGAAAACAATGTCAACCTACCACTAGAGTTAAAAACTGACAACCATTCGTGACCAAAAGATCCAACTTCTTTGCTGTTGTTCTCTAGCATTTTCAGACAAGGATGTTTAGGTTTCTAGAGGTCCTCTGATTTCTAGAACCAATTTACTAGCATACACATAGGACAAACAGTGAAGGCAGCTCTGCCCCAATCTGTTGCTGGCACCACAACATTCATAAGCAACTCTACTGCTTAGTCCAGATAAGCAATCAATTCTACTGAACAATCAGTAAACCAAATTTATGACCACAAAAAGAGAGAGATAAGGAGATGGGATTTTGTCTTTTAATACAAATTACAGTTTTAAAAGTACAAACTAATAGGGTTGTGTGAAACAGCTATGTTTTGTTTCATTTTCAGATTCAGCCGTTTCAGAGGACAGAGATTCATTTCGGTGTTTTGGATCGCTGTTCTTTTCCAATTCAGCCAAATCTGTTTCGAAGTTTTGACACTGTTTCGGAGATTCAGATCAACCAGGGAGAGGCAGGCACAGCTGGGCAGCTGCAGGTTCTCCTGCGGCTCCTCCGGTTGTGCCTGCCTCTGCCCCAGCGAGGATAGCCGCGGGAAAAGTCCTCACAGCTGCCCTGCCCAGCCCCATCCCTGGCCTGGCCCCAGCCTCCCAGCACTTAAACAAAACAAAAAAAAAGCAAAAAAAAAATGCCCTGCACTCATCTGCTGTAGCAGCAGCAATTAGGCCTCTGAGGGCTTGTGGCAGAGCTCCCCCCCCACGCAGTGCAGGGTAGTGGGAGGCAGTGGGGATCACCCTTCTTGCTTGGCACCCACACAGCAGCTGTCACATCGTGCAGGAGCAGTGTAGCTTAGCAGGGCACCACACGCCGTCTGGGAGCTGGGGCAGCTCCACATGTCAGTCGAAGCCTGGCACTGCTCAGCCCCAGCTGCCCCAGCTCCCAGAGCACATGGCACCCTGCCAAACCACGCTGCACCCACGTCATGGGGCAGCTGCTGCGCAGGTGTCAAGCACGGGGGGGGGGTGGAATCCCTGCTGCCCCATGCTGCATGGGGGAGGGGAGGGGAGGGGGCTCTGCCACAAGCCTTCATAGGCCCTGGTCGCCACTGCTGCAGCCTGTGAGCGGCTCTTTTTTTCTTGTTTTGTTTTTGTTTTTTTTAAAGTGCAGGGAGGCTGGGGCCGGGGCCAGGCAGGGCAGCCACTGGGGCTTCTCCCACGGCTCCTCTGGCTGTGCCTGCCTCTCCCCAGGCAGGGGGAGCTGCGAGAGAAGCTCCCATGGTTGATCTGCCCAGCCCCATCCCCGGCCCCCCAACACTTTAAAAGGAGGGCTGCGGGGCTGTGCTGAACTATTCCCGGGGGGTGCCTCTAAAACATTCCGAAACATTTTTGAAACATTTTGGATGGTTTCACTTAGTTTCAGAAATGTTTCGGAGCCTTCCGTTTCTTTTCAGAATCGGAGTTTCAGGCACCGAAACACCTCTGAAACAAAACAGCTGCCAACATTTTTCACAGCACTACAAACTAATTTTAAAATAAAGGAGGAAAAAAAAAGCAATTGAGAAACACATAGACCATCTCCCACAGTCCATTTTAGTTGAAGATGTCCTTCCTATGGTGGAGAGGAAGGGAACATGAGCTATTATGGCTGCATTCTGTAATATATCTTTCTATTGATTATTTGTGTCCAAGACAGCATAAAAACACAACTCAATGGTCACTGTTTTGCAGCAGAGTATGATTTCATAAAGGCGATGGGCATTTTCCCAAGAACATGATCTGAAGACAGACTTTTTAAACCATTCATTTCTGTTTTAATGAGTTTTTGTAAGACACTGCTAAAATGTTGTTAGCTAAATATCTACGTCATTATTTCAGTACACTGCAGCAAAAAGTTTTCCCATTAAAGTTTATCAAGATTTTTAAAGTGGATGAAGGCAAGACAATGTTCCTTAGAGCATATTTCAGAAGTGAGCTATTTTATAACTTTTAGTAATTAAACGTGGTTTTATTCTCTAGTTGCTGCTGTAACACAATTCTAGAATGGGAATCTATCATCTTGCCTGAACCACATTGCCTCCATTTTATAAAATTTTATTTTATTATACTAATAATACTGAACTGTTTTTATCAATGATTTTTCCTAGTCAAAAGTTTGTAAGCTAGAAAAATATAGCTTGGTATTTCTGAGCATAACATGACGTTTCACCATTCACTATTTGTTCACTATTTGTTCACTATTTGTTCAAAGATTCGGAAGTCATTCCAACAGAAACTCTACCACTACATTACATAATTTTATTTTATGCTGAATATATATCCATGATATTACCTTGCATCAAGTATTGTTCCTTATCATTAATATACATTAAACAGTATGCGCTGGCATTTCTGTAGCCACCAAAAGAGTCACGTTCCAGCTCTTCCCAAGTTGACTTTGTCACAGAAATATCATTGTATTTCATCCATCGCCTCTGGTGGTGGTCATAAATGTATGCCCAGTAGTGTCCTGCATTAGCCTGGCCTTCATGAACAAGCACAGCATGTAACCGATAAGGAACCTAAAAATGGAAAGAAAATGTAACCCAGATGTTATCATCATCAGTTAATCAACAGAAGCAAATGGTTAGTGGTTAAAGAAGTACAAAACATAAAGATAAAGGGGGAAAAAAAGCAGGTAAGAAGTAGGGACAAAGCTAAGTGAAGCAATATGATTAGTCAGAAAGACTCTGAACTACTTTGGTATACTATAACCACAGTTGTGAACTGGCAGTCCACAGGCCACATGAGGCCCGTGAGGAGTTAATTTGCAGTCCCTGGGCTCCTACCCAGCTGCTACTTCTGCTGTTACAGCTGCAGCAGCAGCAGCCAGGCTTCCTCTAAGACTTCTGCTTCCTGTGCCAGTCCCAGGGAGCAGTGAGAATTGCAGCCCATGGTGCTGGGAGACCCTGAGTCTGCCTCCACCCACTGCCCCGAACTCATTTGACCCATTGCAGATGAGCTGGGGCAGGGTGCTGTTTGCTTAAGTATGCAATACAATGGTGGGATGGGGTTGGGTTGGGGACCACAGCTTGCACTAATAAAGCCCCAGACGGTGTGGCCTGCATAGGGTGCAGTTCTGGGCCACTTTGTATAGGACAGGGCTGTCCAACTTCTACGACATGTTAAGCTAGCTCCAACAGATACTACTCATCTACAGTGAATCATTTACCACTGGAGCATTCAGGAAAGAACTCTGCAACTTTGCACAACAGCTGCTGACCACAAGTCAATTTTCTATTTCACATAATTTTGAAGGTTGCCTTCCCTAGATTGTATTTCATTAAAAATTCTAAATAAAATTTAAAAGATCACAAGCTACAAAACAGAAATAGTATATTTCTTGAAATAAAAAATCAAAGCTTTCTGTAACCTAAATTCAAGAAATGCTACAGCAGAGACAATTAATCAAACACGTCTCAGATTTTGAATTCCAGCTTTTATGATCACAACAACTATATCACTAACATACTAGGTGAATCAGTGGTTCTCAACTTCATTTGTCACGAGGCACCCCTAATGCCAGCTCTTAGTTTTCACTTGTTCTTTTGATGACAGAAAAATAAAAGAGCAGTCCATCTCTTGCAAAGAACACAACACAATAACAGGTTGGAATGTTTTACCTATGCATTTCTACTTGAAATCTCCTTGTTTATCTTGTAAATCATGGACACCTAAATATGCACTCCAGGATGGGAGAGAGATTCATAGACATTAGGGATGGAAGGGACCTTGCAAGATTGTCAGGTCCAGGACCCTGCCCAAGGGGCAGGAAATCAGTGTTTTAATTAGAGTGGTTCTCGGGAGCTGCAGTAATTAAAATGCCCGCAGCATCTTCTGTATTCAATGTCCTGTGCTTCAAAATGGTGGTAGAGGCACTTTAGCTAAAGCTTGTTCAATGAGTTTTAGTTGAAGTGCCCCTGCCGCCATTTTGAAACACAGGGATGCTGAATATAAGAGATGCTGCAGCACGCTGGAGCGTTCCAATTAAAACAAGTCTGCTCTGACACCTTCTAATAAGAATGCATCAAAGCACATGTAAAAGTCCCCCATGTTTGCACACATAACCATGCTAAAATTGTGTGGCACTGTGACACCCCACATCCTTGAAAGGATATAAAGGCACCTCAGGGAGTCACAGCATCCTGGTTGATGATCGATCACTGATGTAAATGAATCATTTCTCCAAGCATTAATCTCTTAACCTATAAGACAACAGAAAGTATCTTCTCCCAAAACCTCAGAATAAAGACAAAATGTCACTTTCTAGGAAAAGTTATACAATGCTTGGTTTGTCTTGGTCATTAGGCTCAGTAGGACATAAGAATGAAACAAGTAACTAAGTGAGAGCAACTCAAAGATATTAAAGATGAATAGGGAGCAAAATCTTCTGGGATAAATGTTGGCTTTTTTGCCATACAGGGGGAGTACTAGTTTCACAGTAGCTAGGGTCAGGAGGGACCTGAACAGATCATCTAGCCTGACCCCCTGCCAAAGGCAGGAATGAATGCTGGGTTCACAAGACCCCAGACAGGTGATCGTCCAACCTTCTCTTGAATTTGCCCAAGGCAGGGGTGAGGACCACTTCCCTGGGAAGTTGGTTTCAGATTTTGGCCACCCTAACTGTAAAATACTGCCTTCTGATCTCTAGCCTAAACCTATTCTCCATCAGGTCAGGTCCTTCAGTCTCTCCTCGTAGGGCCTGTCTTGCTGCCCTCTCACCAGGCGGGTGGCCCTCCTCTGAACCCTCTCCAGGCTGGCAACATCCCATATGAAGTGCGGCGCCCAGTACTGGACGCAGTACTCCAACTACGGCCTGACCAAAGTCGCATAGAGGGGGAGTATCACCTCTCTGGACCGGCTTGAGATGCACCTGTGGATGCATGACAAGGTATGGTTGGCCTTGCTGGCTGTGGTCTGGCATTGGCGGCTTCATGTTCATGTTCATCTTGGAGTCAATAATGACTCCAAGATCCCGTTCCACCTCTGTGCTTTCAAGAGGGGAACTCCCCAGCCTGTATGTATACTAGAAATAATAATAGCAAAGAGGAACTGATCTACTTTCCCTTAGAAGTTTATACAAGAAAAAACAAAGATAGATATCCTTTTTAATGCATATAACTCCTGGGTTAATTCAGTGAAAACAGTAGAAAAGAGCAATACCCTTATTACAAGGTTGTAATCTGTTTGCTTGGTTGTTCTTTTTTTAAAGGACTGAAGATGTTACTGAATGGCTCTAATCTGTAGTCCTACGCAAGGGGTACAAAGAAGGGAAGGATCCACATGCCATTCATAAAATGCTCAAGCACTAATGAGCTTGGCTAATATTAAAAACTAAAGCTGTTTTTCAGATCCATTGCTATTACTATCCAACTCGCAGGATGAAGTTCTTTGCAGGCAAAGTATATTTGATATCTTTTTAAAATATCTCCAAACATTTTTTGCAACACGAAGATTTACATATAGTATTTGAATATCATAAAATCAATGACAATAATACAAGTCTTTGTCACAGGTTATTTTAACTGGGTTTGTCTTGCTAAGACTAGAGTCCAATTTTTCTGGACTACCACCCTCACTTACTTTAAACAATAAAGTTATGCAATCATCCCTGAAACTGGAAAGTTGCTCCACAACCAGCCAGCAGGAACCCAAGGTGAAAGTTTTTTGCCATCCCCAAACCAGAACATAACTTCCTTAAATGAGTGTCAGAGAAGAGAGAGACCCTGGCCATACACTGCGCTGTGAGTGACAGCACATTGTTATAACAGTTGAGTTATTAAGCTAGGTTGAAAGCTTTTTATAAATCAACATAGATATACAGATTTTGATTAAAAAGACTATCAGGGAAGTCTCGATAGCCTTTCTGGGAATCTTTCTTCATTTTCAAATAGCGCACTACAACTAAGAGAAAAAGACAAGCTGAGGGGTTTATATTTTATTTAATATTTAATCTAATTGGGTCAACTTCAATCTCTTTCTCTAACTCTGATGAACTGGCTAGCAGAACTGTCTAGTCTGAGTTTCCAGGAATGTTAATTGCAGACATCTATTAATGGAGTGATACTGAGCTCTAACAGGTAAACCCTGTACCTGCAGCAATGTCTCACAATAAGCTATTATATCAACAGCAATTAATAGTACGTAGCAGCACTCTTGGTAGGAAATTGGCATTAAGCTTTTGTGTTGGTAACTACCCATGTGTGTAACAAGTTTAATCCATCAACAGAAAGGAACCTCCCAATATTGAATAAGCCTTTCCATACCACTTCATTTCCACTCCAAGAACACACCTAACAGCATCGCAAAAATACTGACACGGTTAAAAAACAATGGAAATTGAATGGTGTATTTGGGTACCTACAAGTTTAAATAAGCAATTTGAGACAACATTTGTCTTTGGTCCTCTCTCATACTTCCATGCAGCCAATAAATGAACTAATCAAGCAACTTGGGAGTCAAGTGCTTAAAGATGCCATCCAAGAGGACTGAGTGCATCTACATATTCATTAATGTGCTGTAATTACGCGGCATTAAGTTTAGTAACAACAAGTACTAACAAGGTGCCATAATCAGCGCTACTGCGCAGTACTGCCAGCACAGTTTTTCTGATGCTATTGAACAGTAAACTAATTCTGTTGCGCATTAGCACATTAGCATGCTTTTTGACTGCTGTGCGTATGGGCAGCAGAATTAATCTATTGTGCATTTAATGTCTCATGTATTTGGTTGGAGCTGAATACATTTTGCCATTTTGGCTGTTTTAAAGACTTCATAACCATAGCAGTACCTTCCTGGTTGAGCTTATACAAGTAACTGATGCAGGTTTCTAGTCAAGTCCAGTGGCAATGTGCTTGATAATAAGCTCCCATGTAGTTACAGGCTAAAAAATACATTCTGTATCACAAAATGGTCTGCCTGTCATATACATGTCTGGACTACAGTAATGCAATCTACCTGGGCATGAAGTTATCAGCCTTTAGGAAAATTAAGACTCAGCAATGCATATTTAATCAAACCTCTCCTCTGCTTTCTATGTTGTCTTCCCATAAAATATTGAGTAAAATTAAAGGTCTATGTCCTTAACTTTAAACCATGGGATAACCTGACTTCAGATTATCAAGATTACCTACAGTTTAGGATGAAGACTATGGCTAACCACTCTGTTCTTTAGGCAGAGTAGAACACTAGGGACAAGGCAAACTATTTCAGGCCTGGGTGCAAGGGCATAGAATAAACTCCCACAGGAACAGAAGCCATCACACACACACATTTAGATCAGGGGTTTCCCAAAGCAGCCCATGAACCCCTTTGATGTGCCATGCCACCTGGGTAGATGTGCCCTACCATCTGACCACTTCTCCTTTTAAATGGCCCTTCAGGGGCAAAACTTTGGGAACCCCTGGTTTATATGCATATTAAAAGTACAGTAGTTAGAAGTAGTTATAGAAACACAAAAAAACAGCAACTATCATGTTTCTATCTTTCCAAATAAATCAATTTTATGGGATATGAGAACTTC